AATAAATTTCGATTACACAATAAATTTTGTATTGACATTGTCAAATTTTTGGAATTGTCAAAAATTAGGGGTTGGAGGGGTGTAGGAAGCCGCGCTTACTCATTTAAACTTGGTCAGATGCTAAAACTTTAAAGTTTAGAAGGTGCAAAAAAATATGTTTATTTTTATACGAAAATAAAAATTTAAGAAATGTTATTTTTTCTTGTTACAGATGTTGTTGATATGATGTAAATAGTATATTCACAAAAGGTTTTCAGTAAATTAAAAATGACCATGTGCATCTGCTTATTTACATTAAACTACTAACTAATTTTAAATGATTGGGTAACTTTATAATTTTTATTCATAATATCTTATTTATCATCTTTTCTAGCAGATATTTAAATTTAAACAAGGATTTTACTGATACAATTTTGTTTCTTTAACTTTTCCCTCATGGCAGGGGGTGCAAGTGCACCCCCTCCCGGCGCCCATGATGACCACGTCTTTAGTCAAAGTGCAAAGTTTTGACATACCTACTTAAATTTTGTCTTCCGTGTCGGAGAAAACCTTCTTCTATGTTTTAAGTATTTTTTGTAGTAGGTAAAGCATGATGTCTAATATTGATGTCAGGCACAAGAATTAAAAAAAATGGTAATGCCAGTAGCTCTTAAAAGAATTTTTATGATATGTGTAGTAAAAAATTATATTCATTAAAAATATACAAATTTATACATTCACTTTTTATATGCATTATTACAAGTATAAATATCAAATTAATTGGGTCGATTCACAATTTTTATTTTGTTTACCTACATTCAATGTACTTTATTAACGTGTCATGGTTTTATTTTATTCAGAATTTTCAGCGGCAATTTATTACTGTATGTATAATATTATAGATACAATCGAGGTCAATTGTAACAATAAAAATTTCGATAAAATCTATAGTTAAATATATGGCTATAGTTATTATGAAGGAATAAAATGGAACGTTTTTAGTTCCACACTTTTTTGCTGAAACAAGCTAAAGTTTTGTGGGCCAGACAAAATATTGGAAAATATTTAAATAAGGCTGTATTAAAAAAAATTGCGGACAGGCAAGTGATATAAGGGGCAGAAAAATAAAAATAAACTTGAAACATATATTATATATATATAATAAAAAACTTACGATAATACCTACATCTAATATATTCGTTGAAGGTGTCTATCTGTTTGAATTAGAACTATATTTTTTTAGATCGAGCAGTTTTTTTCTTAGTGGGAAAAGCAAGGAAGGTAATAATTGAATGTAAATTTTGTTACCTTGCGAGAATAATATTCTAGTAAAATACATTACATAATGAACTTAAATATTTATGCAAAATGGTCATTAAAATTTCGATAAAAGAATGTGAATGTGCAAACTAAGCTTTAAAGGCCATTTACCCTATATGCAATCATGCACCTAACCCTGTATCGTAATTTTAATAAAAATCCGTGTTAAATAAATTTTTAACGAAAAATCTGTTTTGTATAAAAATTATCCAATCAACAACAAATGTAAAATTGGGAGCCAAGTTCAATATTAAGAATATGCGTGGTTGTCAACTTCACCGACAAAAGAATTGATATCTAAATGGGTGCCAAGTTTTGTAGATAATCCTGAATTTTTTTTTCATATGAACATACAACATTCAAAAATAAATTTAAAACACAATTTCTTTTTTTTTCTACTACAAAAGTATTTGCTATTTAAAAATAGTACTTCTAAAATTTGAACAGTAGTAACACACAGTAGATATACCTTAGGATAAATTGAAGTTCATGATTTGACTTGGTTAGTTTTTACATACAAGTTATCTTATATTCGGCTAATCACTTTATATATCTTCTTTATGCTATGCAAGTTACCGTTTTTATATTGTAAGGTCAACATGTCTCAATCTTCTAAAAACTTGCTTTACTGGTAAAAACAGGCAGGCAAAATACGTCAGATACTAACATTTTTTTGAAAAATGTGCGATGGAAAAAAAATAAGAATCAGTGTAGGTGTAGGTATCAGTTTATAATATGGACCGAGTTGAATTGAGAACATTCTATTTTTTTTACTCGGTTAAAAACAGGAAAAACGGTTAGAAAAAAGAATTGTATTAAAATTTTTCTAGTTGTTTTTTCGTTTCTCGTGCGCGATAGGCAGAAAAAATAGCTCTAAAAAAATTAACTGGTCTAATACATAGCTTTTGACTGGATGAACGGCGAAACAATATTGTAGTGAAGAGTTATATCAATCATAAGGTTATTATAATCTCGATATTTAACATTTCAAATTTTTATCGGATTCATTTTACAACTCACGTCTTAGCTTATTACAAAGGATCAATTAAGTAATATGACAACTTTCTGTGAGATAATAGATATTATAATCATAACGTTATCTTTGTCATATGATTTTATATCTTTGTTCGCAAACTTCGACTGCGTATTATATTTACTCTAATTTACACAATCATCATTAAGTAGCAAAAAAACAGCTCATATCTGATTATTATATTTATTAAGCATGCCTGAACAATGTTCCCAACAGGCATTAACACGCATGCAGTTTTAATTCTCAATTTCTTGTCTTTTAAGGTACATTGACTCGCAAATGCACAATAATCTATCAATACGTATAATAAAAGTGTAACTGATCGCTGTCTGTACATGGAAGATATTTTAGAAAAACTATTGTCGGGAGTCTTTAATAACGTAATAGAACCCAAAACAATGATTTTTAGAATTTTTGTCTGTGCGTTTGTGCGCGTTAATCTCAGAAAGCGGTAAAGCCGATTTGGATGCGGTTTTTCATTAGTGTGTGGTATTTATAATGTGGTAAACTTTACTTAACATTTAATATTTGTTTTTTAATTCAATCGGTTCATAAATAAAAAAATCTCAATTTAAAAAATCATTATGTGAACTGAGAACATTATCTGAACATTAGAGACGTGAGACGCCAGTTGTTAATATTTATAGTATTACTAGTAGACCTAGCGGCTTCGCTCGCGTTACAATTACAAAAGAACTATAAAAGGTAGGTTTCATACAAACTTTCATCCCCTATTTTATGGGGTATAAAGATAAATTTCGAAAAATGCAAAAATACGTATTTAATTGAAGTCTTATTAATACCAAGTTTTAAGTAATACTGATCATAAAATTTTTTTTAGGTTGTATTATAACGTGTTTTCCCGTGGGAATTAGGTAATCTCCCGCGGTAAAAAGTAGCCTATGTCACTCTCCAGCCCTCCAACTATCTCCACACAATAAACCGCCCCAATATGTCGCTGTTTCTTCGTGAAAGAAGAAGAAACAAAAAAACACTTTCAAATTTACAATATTAGTATGGATGTATTCATACGTCGTAAGACGTCTCACGAAGTGTGCTATTATGACTTTCTTAGCAATCGTATTTATATTTTTAGAGATGTACAATTATTACAACTATGCACTAAATTCTGTTTAACAGGGTGTAAGAATAGAACACAAATAAAATACGCATTATTTTTAAAACGATAATTTATTGATTTAACCGCAAATATATTAGTTTATATACAGAAGGTAAGGACGACAACAAATTCAAACGGAGAGCCAGCACACTTTCATTTCACAGTGTAATTTCATGTGAACTCTAAAATTGAACAACTTAGAACTAATAAGAGTCGTCTAAGTCGCATAGCCTGCGAGTTCACTTCACCATTGCAAATGAAAAACGAAATCACTACACCTAATTTATCCAACGTATTAAAATACTGAATATGAATTAATTTTCAGACACAAAACAAATAGCTTTTAGTATCTACTTAATAGATCTATTATTTACATAATCGTTAACTAACGTCAGGAATATTGACATGCTCATTATAACATTCACCATTTACTCTCACTTCAGTCAATAGTATCAAAAATATAAATGTTTTGCACATTCAAAAGGAACTGTTACTAAGCCACAGATGTTTGTTTGAACATAGAATGAAAAAGAGTCAGTAGTCACGTTTAACCAGTCACAGTGTATTTTAGTACTCATTAATGAATTCATCGACATTATATGAAGTGTTTCAGCAGAAGGCAATCACGCAACACATTGTACTTTGTTAGTATACACACATATTTAACAATAAATTCTATTCAATATACACTAATTTTACAACAATTTCAGTCAAATGATATATGCAAATACAACCTTTTTACATTAGTATACACACAATATAAGATTCTACATTTACAAACATAGCCGTAGCTAGGATAATCTAAAAGCCGGTCGACTTATTTAGAAATGGCTTTTTTATATGTTACAAAATGTTACAACGTGGACCCTCAGCTAGCTACGGCTCTATTTCCAAAGTCCCCATGTTTTTGGCAGAAATCAATGTCTAAGATATACAGACAGAACTGGAAACTTTTATAACATAATTTATCTTAAAAGGCCACCATTGACAAGGCGAAATCGGTGAGACAGTATATTATGACGTATAATTTACAATATATGTATGTATTATTGGCACTGCACACGCGGAAAATACGTTGTATATAAAGAATTGAAACAATAGAAATCAATAAAATGCAGATGGCAGTGCTATTAATTATTATAATGAGCATCCTGACCAACTTCTAAATCTCCTACAAAAATGTATCTAGAAAGGCAAAAATACGATAACTTACATAAGCGCCAAATAACTCCTAATTTAACTATGAGACAGTACTCTACTACAGTCATCGCTATGAAGTATAACAACAGTTCATTCATAAGCGTATTATAAGTGTAATTTGTGGGGCGACACAGATCAGAGGGCGTCATAGAACACCGACCGGAAACACCTCGCGGTGGTCATCAAACAAGTCCGGTAACGAAACGAGTCAACGCGTAAAATATAAGCATACCATACGAAGTAGTAAGCGTCTATTATATATAAGTATACAACATAAGATAAAATAGTAAATATAACGGGGGAAGTGCCAATGTGTGAGGGCGATGCGAGCGCGCGTCAGTGTGCTCACGAGTCCGCCGGCACGTCCCACTCCGCCAGCCCGCGGTCCACCAGCTCTCTGTTCAGGAATATCACTTGCTGTGGACACAAAAACATGTCAATTAACATAATATGTATAGATTAATATGTTAATGAATGTCACTGTCTGATTAAAGGCTTATGCATACGATGACATTTTTACACATTGTCGACATTCGCTTCCCAAACTTTTGTTAATTGTATCGATACGACGCAAATAAAGTGCATATTTTACTTTTATTACTTGTCAGCTTAAAAATATGTGTGGCTATCGTACGTTAACGATACGCACGTCCTTAGCGCGTTTTTGAAACGTGACGTGCGTAAGGTCTTATTAAGTGGCGTTCATAGGCTCTGAGATAACATGCGCAGTGGTATCGTCTCGTCATTACAATTTCGGACAGTATATCTTTAATGTTTATTGCTTCGTGGATCTATAAAAATGGATGTGCGAACATTATAGATACTTAATTACTTACATAAAAGATACATAATAGATACCGATCGACTAGACGACGAGAGACGTCCTGGGACAGAGTGAATATAGTTATTGGTTTCGGTAGTAGTAGGAGAGGTTGGCCTATGCCTGATCTCTCTCACTCTTCTACTATTTAATAGGATTATCTTCAATCACTAGTGCTTTACTTGTAATATCTCCCGTACAAATGAATAGCCTTAGTGATATATATATATATATATATATATATATATATATATAGTACCTGGGCGACCGAGCCTTGCTCGGAGTGTTTGGCCAAAAAAAAACATAAAAAAAAACAAACTAAGAATTTGAATAACTACAAAAAAAACAAAATTATATATAAGATATATAATCATATCAAAATGGAACTTCATTCATTATGCATTTTATTTATGTATAAGCAGATATTTTAATTTTATGTAAATAGCATTAAAAAAGCCATATTTTTATACGTTTTAAATTGTTTACAATAGTCATTAAATATTCAAGTAGATAACACGTCTATTACTTTTGCGTATAAGGAGTGACGCAACTTTGTATAATAAAAAAACAACTGTACTTGAATTCAAAGTACAATTACTTATATCACATGAGAAATGGTTTAGTTAGTCTCTAATTTATCGTTGTAATGTTTCATTGTTAATTATATGTAAGTAGTGTACAGTACAGTGACTAAATTTTTAACAGCTATTTAGTTTTTATTTGCACACATACAAGCATTTTCAAATTAGTTTGTCTGTATGTTGTGTGCTTGAGGCATCTTTTCACTTTCATTGTGTACTTGGAATATCATCTATACTAATATTTAAAGAGGAAAGATTTGATTTTTTATTTGTTTGTAAAGAATAGGCTCCGAAACTACTGAACCGATTTAGATGTAATTTGGTGAGAAGATAGTTTGAGACTTTACGTCTTAACGTTTAGTGTGGAATAGATAGATCCCTTTTGTTCTGTGATAAACAAATCTGAGGGATAGACATACACACATTTGTATGGGCTGTCCAGACTATAATCTATCTCGGGGCCTTTCATCCAGATCCGTTCAGCCGTTCTGGCGTGGTTGAGTAACAAACATCCATCCATCCAAACTTTTGCATTTAAAAACAATTTTTTTTTATCACTACATAGTATAAAACAGAGTCGCTTCCCGCTGTCTGTCTGTCCCTATGTATGCTTAGATCTTTAAAACTACTCAAAGGATTTTGATGCGGTTAGAAGAAGAATAGACAGAGTGATTTAAGAGGAAGGTTTATATGTATAATACATGCAAATTATAGTACAAAAAAGCCGAGAAATTCAAAGATTTGTATTTCATACTAACCGTTAAAACGTACCTAGGGACGAATCCAAGGAAAGCGAATTATAATAATGGGATTATGGAACTCCAACAGAAGTACATATAAAAATACAAAAAAAAAGTTCTGTAGACAGTATATAAAATGTACCCCCAAATACTATAGAACATGCACTAGAATAATATCAATAACATTACATATAATAATTTATGAAACTAAATGTAAACAACAGAACTAAATTATATACTTATATGATGGAGGTCATCAATTAGATGGCATTTAAAAGTAATTGAGTAAATAATAAAATAATTAATTTTATTATGCGAAACAAATTAACGTTAATGAAATCACAGATAGAAAGAAATATAAGAGAAATAACGCGTGGTTAAAAAATAAACAGCAGTTTCACGAACACAACACAAGAAAGTATTTATTTTGCATATATGTCTTAACTCCACCGTCCCATTTTATCTTTTTTTTTCAATGTAACTTTAAGTTTAATAGATAATTTTACGGAAGCGACTAGATTATTAATAACACATAATATTACAATGCATATAATCAGCATAGATATAACTTGACGTGACAGGTAAATAACTATTCTTGGTTCGATGCGGAACGAACTCGAAACTCGAACCCAGAACTTCGGGATTTGAAGCCGTTCGTGCTAACCACTAGATCAACGAGGCACTCATTTTAAGTTACACGTGTAATGAAGATAAACAATATTGTCTAGTGTAGAAATCATGTATCATCATAACAAAATACTTTAAGTTAATTGAATTACTTGAATGCAGGGTTTCTCAACCTTTCTTCTGTTGTAGCTTCCCAGATTATAAAAAATATTTTCATGCCCCCCTTAATATTTTTGTTATTACACAAAAACACACATTATTTTATTTTTTTATTGTAATAAAAAAAACACATTATTTTAACGATTTTTATTTTAAGTTATACAAAATAAACTCTCTCTACGCCCCCCTGGTTCGAAACTCCTGCTTTAATGTGATATTAACTGAAGCCTATTTTATAGGTTTTTAATTTATTTTAACTGAAAATTTTCAAATCCAACGTGTGTATAGTGCTGAGATAAAAATCGCAGAAAAGACCAGCAACAATTATAAAAATGGATAAAATCTATTATTCTCGTGTATTGATGGAACAGTATGTCCCGGTATGTAATAAGCAAAGCAGGCAAATGCAAGTTGATAAATTTTAGCTTTCTACAGTCCTTCTCCATATAGACTTTCACTATATCAAAGCTCATATTCCTCTGTACGTGTCATATTCTAAAGCCTTACAAAGCTTTCTCTTCACATATAAGGTGAGGTTATATATAAAGAATTCAAATAAAATCTATACTTATAATAAATCTGTAGAGAGGTCAATTCTGTACATGAAATATATTTCCAAAATAACTATCAGGGGGTGATTAGGGATCGATACTGATGCCAAAAATGCAATCAGTGAAATTTTTGTCTGTCTGTCTGTATAACCGTTATAGAAACAAAAACTACTCGACGGATTTTAACGAAACTTGGTACAATTATTTTTCATACTCCTGAGCTGGTTAAAGTATACTTTTCATCACGGTACAATCAATAGGAGCAGAGCAGTGAAGGGAAATGTTGGGAAAACGGGAGAAAGCTTGCGTCGCGTGTGCAACCTGGATGGCTTTGACAGACAGACAAAAATTCTAAAACCTATAGATTCGGACTCTGTATCGATAATAATGTCTATTTCTTCCATTTTATTAGATTTTCCAAAAAATGTTTAATGTACAGATTCGATTTAGTTACAATTTTATTATATGTATATAGATTTCTGCAAAAACTTTTTGATATTTTTATTTTTCTTTATTTTTTATTTATTTGATTCACCAGTGGTTAGTTACAATAATACAATTTATTTTATACGAGTACAATTTTTTTAAGTTTTTATAGCTAATTGCACTACCTTTTAATTTAATGATATTCATGAAACTAGGGGACTATAATGTTCAAAATACATATAATAACCATTTTTTTTAAATCGAAATGTTTATCTTTGCTTTGTATGGGCTGGCACCGATTTCGAAAATATTTGATTAGGTATGTATTTAATAGGTAGGCTTTAATTACTTAGCCAAAGCACACCGACTTCGAAAATATTTGATTAGGTATGTATAGTAAATGAAAACTATCAATCAGTTATTTTTTACTTTTTAGTGCTTTTGTTTGAAGTCGGTTTTTATTTTTTTGTTAAAAAGTTTTTATTTTTCCCTTTTTAGTGTAGACAGTAGCTAAAGTAAGGATTCTAATGTGTTAGGCTTGTCAAATCAAACAAAATAAGCCCAAACTCAAAGTATCTACTATTAGCCGTTGAAGAGTTCCACCTATCCACCTTCTGGCCTTGCCATCAGATCAGGTCAACAACATCGAACCACTGTACTATCAACGAAAATAGAAATACTTGCAAAGTTTCAAGTCAATATGACAATTAGAAGTAGGTTAAATTCATCATTAGTTGTTTTTCCACCCATAGGGGTGGTATTTTTTTTTTGAAATTTAAATGGGACCAATCTGGAAGTATACCCTTTCAAACAAAACAAAAATTGTCCAAATCGGTTAATAAATGACGGAGTTCTGAGGTAACAAACATAAAAAAAAAAAAAACATACAGTTGAATTGAGAACCTCCTCCTTTTTGAAGTCGGTTGATAAAGAGGTAAAGTTTGTGAGTTTAGTGATTTTGTGAGTTTGTGACGTAGGGGGTAATCTCTGGAGAAAATTTGGTAAGAAGATAGTTTGAGACCCTGGGAAGGACATAGAATACTTTTTATCCCGGAAATCATCCCTTAAGGGTGTAAAAATGGGGATGAAAGTTTATATTGGGAAGAAAGCTAGAGAAAAACCAGAGCGAAACAAGGGTGAATCGCGAGTATTTCTATAAAAAGCTGTGCATGCTTTTTAGTTAAATTATATAGACAATAGAGAAGTATTATTGTGTTCATTTCATATTTTATGTAAATTTAGTTAGCAAGTCCCATTTTTTATTACCTTCACTCTCATATGAAGATGTTTCTCACTTCCATGAAAGAGAGATCAGTTACAGGTTTAATATGCTCAAATAGGCAGTTGACGGTTATAAACTGCCCAATTTTTGTATGGCCCTACTAAGAACTTGCTAAAAACCTCTTTCTGACCTGACCCAGGACTTGTATCTAAGGTTTCATCCACAGGCGTACAAGATAACCACTATAGCTGGAGTAGTGTGTCATTGTGTACAAACAAAAAACAACTTCAGCTTTGTATAGTATAAATATCTTTATATACTCTTATGTTTAGTTCTTTGTCATCAAATTACAATTATATTTTACTATTACTCACCTTTACATTATTTGTAGTGATTTGAAATATCATATATAGTATAGTACCTGCAGGTTGCAGGTTAGGTAAAGTAGTGGTATCGCACCTGCGTCAAGGGTCAGATCTAGTGTAATAAAGTACCTGTGCATTGAGGGTCAGCTAGAATAGAGTGGTAAGGTACCTGTGCGTTGAGGATCAGATAGAGTAGTAGTATAGTACCTGTGCGTTAAGGGTCAGGTAGAGAAGTGGTATAGTACCTGTGTGTTAAGGGTCGGGTAGAGAAGTGGTATAGTACCTGTGGGTTGAGGGTCAGGTAGAGGTGCACAAGCGGCAGGCCGGCCTCGTCGTAGCCCGCCACCTGCGCGTGCAGCAGCTGGCCGGCCGTCAGCCCCGCCATGATGCGCAGCGCCTCGCCGCTCCACTCCGTCTCTATTTTATATACACTAACATTATTTTGCAGTTCAAACTTTTACAATTACTTCTATATATAATTAATTTCATTTTAGGATTATTTAAGCACAGACAATTTTTGACTATTGGATATTTTGTAATTAAAGATTTAGACCTGAATGATAATTATCAAAGCTGACAGGTTTCTATTTTAAAATGTTGAATTTTATACCAATGTATAATAATATTTATGACAATACAATTAATGATATCACGGTTGTTGGGATAACGTGAGATAGCATTTAGAAATATTTAAATAAAAAGATTTCTTTAGTGCAACTATGGAAACAACTATATATGTAATTTTATGGTTCTTTTCCACTTAATGATTTTATGCGATTGATAACTTAATTGATTAATTTTAAGGTAATATGATTAACCATTATATTGTAAGCGTTTGTTAATCAAAATTTTTATTTAAAAACATTTAAAAAATTAAGGTATTCAAAAGTCGTAGAAATAAAAGTATGTATAAAAGAGTTAATCTCTATTCATTACTTTGTAATATGGTTATCACCAATTAAAACAAATAATGGAATAGTAACAAATGAAATTTAATCAATTAGAAATGTAATATTAATTTAACAATCATAATTTAATTCTTATAGAAAGTATATTAAAATAAGCAATTAAATTTGCAATTGAATAATAAGGTGAATGAAATAAGGATAATAGTAATAAATAATGTAAGAAAAACAATCAGCAAGCATGAATTAGAATGAAGAAGCGAGAGAAAAGCATGTTAAATAAATATACAATAAATTAATTAACCATTATTGGCGGGTTTGACAAACGCCAGTAGCGCCTCCGTCGCCTGGAAGGGCAGGGTCATGAAGTCTGAGCGGATCTGCTTGAGCTGGTCGTTGTCCACGGTGAGGTAGCCTCCGAAGTCAACCAACTTCACTACGGATGTGTCATTCTCTTCCGAGGTGGAGATCACTTGCGCGCGGTACCAGTTGTTCTCGGTCGGCGCGGCGCATATAGACCCCTCTGTCGGTGAGAACAGATAATGATTGATTACTTATCTGACTATTATTAAATGCGAAAGTTGCTAAGCTATGTATGTGCGTGTTTTTGTTTACACTGAAATAGTTGAAAGGTTGATGAAATTTGGTACTATTACAGGGTACAATGCCGAATTCAACTTTAGCGCCGCCCCTGGGCACTGTAAGAAATGCCGCCCCACTATCGAAATATTGCACAAAATGATAAAGTTTTGATAAAGTATTTTTTTTAATGATTAATTTATTAAAAAATGCAAAAAAAATATTTGTAAATAAATGTTTTCAATTTTTCAAAAAATGTGCTAGTTATTTATTTTTTAATTATTATATTTATTTCTTTGAAAATAACAAAACACATTTTTGATAACACTAAGATTTTATTTTATCTCAACTGTGTTACAGTTTCTCCTTGAACTATTTATACAAACATGTGATCTCACATTTTTACAACACATTTGTATATGAACACACATTGCAAATGGGAATTAAATATTAAAAATAATATAAATGATAACAGTATATGTCACTATATAACCACTATTTTATTTTAAAGTAATTATTTTACTGCTATAAAAAGGACCAATGTAAACCAAACCAGTTTAACATATATCAAGGCAACTATCAATGTCATTTAAAAACTGGGTTATTTAAACTGGTACATTAATTCATAATATGCAAATAAATACATTAAATTTAAAATATCAACCATAGTAAATATAAGAAAGAAGAATTTCAATGAAAATTTAATAAAGACTTGTTTTGTTATTCCACAGATGTTTGAAATAGTAGCATTCAAATATAATACATGACACACAAGTCATTGTTTGTGTTTTATTAATGTTAATATAACAAGTACAATAAATATATAAAATAGGGCAGATGCTAACTAAAAAATATATCACTTATAAATATGGAAAAATAAATACAATATATTAAGATATAATAATAATTCAATAAAATGTGAGAAAAAGTTGAGCAAATCAAGTCACCTTTCACTGGGCGCGGCAACGCCGGCACGTCGGGGTCCTGATACGTGGCGGCCATGAGGCGGTGAAGCGCGTGCAGCGAGGGGAAGGTGGGGTGCAGCGGCTGCTGCAGGAAGAAGTGCCCCGCACTCACCAGGCACGTCATTATTGTGTCGTTGTTCACCGACTCCACCAACTGTAACTGATAGTGTTAGCATGCAATGTTTCATAGGCAGATAGATGGTCTTCCTAAGATTATATAGGATTAAACAATAATTATAGATACAGTGTAAACTCTATATAGTGAACTTCTATATAACGAGAAACAATTAACATAGATATTGTTAAGGTTTGTTTGGTTAACATTGTTAATCATACATTAAAACACTCTATATAACGTAACAATCACTCTCAATAATGAAAGTATAAGTTATTATTTAGACCCCAATAAACATGAATTTCACTGACCTTCAAAAAGAATACCGACATAGAGTCGTAAATATATCGTACGCACAATTCATAGAAATGTGTTTATTGTAATTGCCTAGCAAGTGTTTATTTACTGTACTCCTATTATCATCCTTTTCGTTATCATATTCTTAGTTGCATTCAAACTTTTGAACTGTAAACATGATGAGTAAACGAAAGACTGTATATTGACGAAAAAGTGTAATTACTTCATGCAATCGAAAAGTATAGAAAAACAAAAACAAATCTATCCCACGGGATCCGTACTTTTTTTCGGGATAAAAAGTAACCTGTGTGTTATTCTGATGTATGAGCAATATTATTGCAAAGTTTCATCAAAATCCATTCAGTAGTTTTTGCATGAAAGAGTAACAAACATACATCGAAACATACATTCTAACTAACTTACGCGTTTATAATATTAGTAGGATACTGGCATAGTAAAAAACGACAACCAAAGTTAACAGATTATAATTCTGTTATATAAAGTATATACTAAATTCTAAGTTTATTGTTGTTTTCCTCTACGAAAACTATTTATAACGTAAAAAAATACACGGTACCTTCAATTTTGCTATATGGAGTTTACACTGTATATTATAATTGTTTATATACAAAAAACAAATGATAAAAGAAAATAAATAACCAAACAAATATTGTAATTTAAATTAGTAAAACAGATTATAAATTTTTTTTTTTTATAATAGTAAACCACAGCACATAATGACTACTTAAAGTTCATTTAAACACAATATAGTACGTACTTGAAGGAACTCTGGCACAAGAGGAGTCAGTCTTTGATATAATTCTGCACTAATTTCTTGAGTAGAAAAGTTGGGGAACCTTTTTTCAGGGAATTTTTCCTTAATCATTTCTAGAGCTGCTTCAATTTCAGACTGTGATCCTATAAAAAGCAAATTTTTAAAGTCATTTCAAACAATTTATAACAACATCATAAGAATGACCCAGTTTATGAGATAAATTTACCTTCGATTGCACAAATTTTTTGTTTGACTAAATCTGGATGTCTTCTGACATAAACTGTTGCACCAGTTTTTGCTTTAATTTTAGTAACAAATGAACCATATTTTCCTATTAACAGACCAACCAGGGTCTGTGGTATTATAAATTGATGAATTCTTAATCCTGTCTCAGATGGGACCATATTCATATTTGCTGGAGGTGGACTGGCTGCTTCTGAACAACCTTTGCCACTATCGCTGGAACCCTGAATCAAAAATGTAACACTACATGCCATATTTTCTGACACATAATAAACAAAAAAATAATTATATATACTTTACCTCACTGTGATTATCTGAGAAATGACACATAGAGGGGCTAGCTAGTAAAGGATCCACAGGACTATGGTTTGCTGAATCTCTTTCTGAAATTCTTCTATTTTGTGATGCTGAAAATCTATTATCATTGTTACTAAGTTCATTACTATCACTAGACTCTTCAACTACATTATTATTATCATTTAACTCTTCATTGTTTGCTAAAGTACTCTCCTCTGACGCTATATCTTCAGACACTACAGCTTCATACTTTGTACTATCTGGTAGTGAAATGTCTGCTTCAGAGTTATCTGATATATTTGCAGTTAGTATTTTATTGTCATCTACATTATAGTCTTGGAAACTTAAATTACCATTTTTAATACATTTTAATTCAGTTTTGAATGATGGATATATGTTAGACTGAGAACTAGTAGCTATAGTGATGTCATTCTTAGAGCAAATCTCTTTAAACTTGTTTTCTGAAGTTAAGGACATCTTTTTTTCCTTCTCAATAGATTTTTTTCTTATAATTTTTTCAATTTCTAAGTCTATTTCCTCATCAGTCAATTCAAGGGGTGAAGAAAGTTGAGAGCCACTTCCATTTAGCATTATGTCTATTGGAGCAGATTTAACTATTGAACATTCGACCTTGCCTAAAGGCGAAGCCTTAATTATTTCCGCTTCAGATTTAAGGACTTCTGCCAGCTCCTCTTTTAAACTTTTTATTCTTTCTCTTCCTCCAGGGTCAGATTTTGCATACTCTCTCTTTTTTTTGAACCAAAAAATACCTAACAAGACTGCTATTGAAGGAACTGACCACATAAGCAACTGACGACAAGGTGCCATTATAATAAGCCACTTTAAAAACAACCTAAAAAGATAAAGTTTAAGTTATTAAAGTAATTGTAATTAATTCATAGCTCATAAAAGGTTCATGGTACAAAAACATTGATGAATAACTTTTATTAAAATGTGTACTTATTATTTTTTTATATGTCCTAATTTTTAAAACTGATAAGTGCTAACCAAGATTGAAGCTGAAAGTGATTATAGATAAGCCATCATGAAAATGTATTATAAATTGTTAAAATTAAAATAATAAATTAAGCCTGAGGATAATGTCATGAAAATATAAAATTGGAACATAATATTTGGGGTTACGAATTGTGTACAAAATAACCACAACAGATGCAATAAACAGAGACATGATGTGTAGTTTTTTTGAATTAGATGAAAACAAGTAAATATTTTATATAAAGTGGTTTATAATCTCTACTTATTTTAACGCCGGCCAGTTCCGTATGGAAATGGTTAGAAAAGCATGCATGGGCTAAAAATGTAAAAGTCGTCCAATCAGCCTCTGCGTGACAGTATAGACACGTATACATTAATTTTCTACCCATGCTTTTTATGAGACAACTATGTGTTTATTTTTTAGTGTTAAAATCAACTTCATTGGCCAGTGAGGGTCACGAGCAACGATAAAAGCTTCACGAACAACACGTAAGCATTTGTACCAAATTAAAAAATGAAAGGTTACGCAATTTTTTGAATGCCAAATTTTTTAGTACCTATCTAAAAAAATTATCAAAAGGTATTCTAAAATGATGAGTGAAATTTTCAATACAAAAACGCAAAATTTAATTTTTGTGAGGTTTTAATCTAAATATGACCATATCATCAAAATTTCATTTTGTCGCCGGTAAAAAGGAAGATATAGTACTTACTTTATTACACAAATTTAGAAAATTACCACTTCTCAACAAAGAATACTTAATTGACCAATATATTATATGTTAACTGTACTGAATTACTAACAAATTTCGCTCAATTAATTAAAACCAACAATCCACGTGCTCACAATGTTTTTTACCGAAGCACAACAAAATTCAATATGGCGGTGACAAGCTGGCAACCTAAAATTTTAAAAGAAATAATAACCATAGATTATTTAAGAGTTTTATTAGTCATCTATGTTTATAAACATATTTATTTGTTTAAAATAAAATATCGTAATATGTATATGTATGTGTCATGACTATGATTATCAAAATTAAGAATAAGAAGATAGGTATACTTATTTATTTTAATGGAAATGATAAATCGCCATGTTATAACGTCCGCCATATTCGATTAAAAAAGGCGGCATTTAGATTTTAGGTAATCGTGCACATGCATTCTCGAGAATCAAATGTGTGTGCAAAATTTCAGCTCAATGGGACACTGGGGTCTGGGAAGTGGGTCAAACATAACTTGTAAGATTTCATTACAGACACAACGGGACAGGTGAAACTAAATAAAAGCTTGTAATTATTTTAATCGATATAAAACACGTTTTGTGTATATACAAATACCGGAATAAATATCTAGCGGAATAGAGACATGACTTCACACTATACTAAAGGGAGATTTAACGACTAACTTCATATTGTATTCTAATAACGACTAACTTCGTACTGTAGTCTAACTCTGTCGGCAAAAGAAGTATATCTTCAAAAACCAGACAAATGCGTGTCTGACTCGCACATCGAGGGTTCCGAGACATGTAATATGCTGAAAAGTGTGCAATTCAATAATCTGCCGATTTCCACGAGCCGAAGCAACGAAAATCGATCATAATATCTTAAATGTTATCTGCCGCGCTTAAGCAAATCCTAAATTCCCCTCTTGTGCCTAATATTATAGTTTTCTGATTTTTCCCTTTACTTTTACTATAAGACATTGCTACTTACTGAATTTTATGATTCTAAATCAACGAGCTGTAGGTACTCTATAGATTTTGATTCCCTTGCGAGTGTCAAACTATTCGGCATAAAGGGCCGTGTCTTTTAATTGCCTTGATTTAGATGTTTAATTTTTTCACAGCTCCAAGGTATGTCAGACCTGAGTATTTGATATTAATTTTAATTTGATACCTCCACGCGTTACTAAGAAAAAGGGTTTTGACAGACAGACGGACGAACAACAAAGTGATCCTATAAGGTTTCCTTTTTTCCTTTTGAGGAAACCTAAAAAGCCCTATAAAAGACTTACTGAAAATTCCAGGATGATTATCGAACCTACAAAAACACCGACACTAATTTTTATCGAACTAACAGAGTCTACGGTAAGGATAAATATCTCGAACAAACCTTGTATCTTGCAATTAAAGAAAAACTTTAAAACTTACAGTATACGTACATATGTCGACTCTAACTAGCAGTGCGAAACAAAATATGTTTTAGTGCTTTACGCTCAGAAACTACTGAGCCCACAAAACTGCTTTTAGCGTAAAGTAAAAGTGTATTTTTTTGTAGTTTTAGCGCGAGATAGTTCAAGCTACGTATATTGCTGAAAGATAGTGGTCTTATATAATTATGTGTACTGCCTCGATGGTGTAGTGGCTAGCATGTACGGCTGCACATCCGGAGGTCCTGGGTTCGAGTCCCGGGTCGGGCCAAGTTTAGTTATTGAGTCTCTCTGTATAGTAAGTCTCAGTAACAGCCCGGAGTTGGGAAGTTGGCGTTGTTTCACCCCGTGCCTCGGAGAGCACGTAAAGACGTCGGTCCTGCGCCTTAACTCTCACCGGTCGTGTCGAGTGGTCATCCCACCGGAGTATGAGAGTGATAGGAATAGAGAGTGCACTTGTGTCTGCGCGTACACTTGTGCACTATAATATCTCCTGCGCGGTTGGCTAATCTCAATGAGATTGGCCGCCGTAGCCAGAATCGGCTAGGAGAACATCAATATATAATTATGATATCTACATGGGCGGCAGAAATATTTCTAGGGGGGTGAACGTGCATCTGCTTCTTCGCATTAAACTACTAATTATAAATCTTCAATAAGTTGAAGTTCAAGATTTGACTTGGCTATTTTTTACCAGTAAAGCAAGTTTTTAGAAGAGTGAAACATTTTGACCTCACAAAATAAAAACAGTAACTTACTTATAGCATAAAGAAGATATAAGTAATTAGTCGAATATAAGATAACTTGTATGTAAAAATTAGCCAAGTCAAGTCCTGAAATTCAATTTATCCTTAGTTATCTACTCTATGAAAATAATTCGACTGTTCAAATTTAATAAGTTCTATTTTTAAATAAATAGCAAACACTTTTGTAGTAGAAAAAATAAGAAACTGTGTTTTTAATTTACTTTATATTTTATAATGTTTTATGTTCTTATGAAAAAAATCAGGATTATCTACAGAACTTGGCACCCATTTAGACTTCAATTCTTTTGTCAGTGAAGTCGACAACGATATCATGACCTTTTATAAAGCAACTAATATTCATAATTCGTAAGTAACATGTAAATTCAATCTTTTTTTATCCATAACTAGCATTGCCCGCGGCTCCGCCCGCGTTCAGATGACCAAAAACTAAATTCTTAGGTGTTACATATTAGTATACTCTTACATTGCAGTTTTTGTATTTTTCCTCAGAAATAAGATATTTTCCCGCGGTAAAAAGTATCCTAGGATCGCGCGCTACATCGCCCGGTTTATATAGCTTGAGCAGGCGGTCGAGCGATGCGGGGCAGAGGGGATGGACTCGCCGTAGGCATCTCAATGCTCGCCAAGCATTAAAAATGTTTCGCTACTAATTACTTCTAACAACGATATTTCAAAAACTATTCATCTGATTGATTTAGTGTAAAGAGCAATTTTAATCTGCATTAAATGACTAAGCTAACTAAAATATTCATTTGGATAAGGATTAATACCGAACTAAAGAAAATAACTTTGAAAATAACTTAATGTTTTTAATTAAAAATGTTAACATAAAAGTGGTTATTGTAAGTCAACCGTAAGAGATAGAGATATGCTATCGCGGACTTTTTTGTAGCATTTTTATAGATTTTGAATTCTCTAGTACATTACTTAACTGTATCTTTGCTAGTTTACGCGGCGTTCGCGTGGAAAGTTCCCATTTGGCGAGATTTTTTGCGACCTCTTCAACATTTGTCGCCGTATTTCAGCTAATTTACATAAAAGCATAATAAATTATATACCTAAACCTTCCTCAAGAATTACTCTTTCTATTGTTGAAAACCGTATAAAAATCCGTTCAGTAGTTTTCGAGTTTATCGCGTACAGACAGACAGGAGGACAGACAGGAGGACAGAAAGACGCGGCCGGGGGACTTATTTTTATAATAAGTATCCATAATTTTGCGACTATTTGTTAGTGGATAAGGCGGAATAGGAAAATGTTAATTAATGATCATGGAACCTTTTCTCCCAAAAAAGAAACATTTTTTTGCTTTTACTATGATTGATATTGCTATTATATTTCAAAAGACACTAAGTGTTAAGCTATTGCTATTATGTTTTGGAAGGCGTAACATGTTAATAAAAATTAATTATTTTTTTTTCAGATTTTCCCTTTGTATGCACACGATTACCCATCTGGACATTCTTCTTCTTCCTGCCCATTTCCCAAATTACTTGGGGTTGGCGCAGTACGTCTACCATACTGCTGATCGGTTTTGGCAAAAGTTTTACGACCGGCCGCCTGCCTGACATGAGACATCAACCCTCTTTGGGAATGCTGTTGTTTACCAACGTCGTGCAGAAACCCGAGGTGCGATAACCAGCACAATATCGTCTTCTACGACACTTGCAGTGCTTATTTTAATTTTATTTGCCGCGTCGTTTCAATATCCAATTTAGAGTTAATTTTGATAAATATGTACCTAATCATTCAATTTCATGTCAAACCATAATGCGCACCAAAATTCAGCATTTTTTTCACTACTTTCACTGACATAGCCAATTGCTTACGTTATTCATAACTTAATACTTGAAGAGCTCTTAAATTTATTTCTTTAAATGACACACACATATTGTTCCCATAATGTTTATTTTTTCCAAAACGTATTCATTGTTGGTCTCTTGAACCTGAGAATCTTTTAAGGCATTTCAATAGTCTTCTTAAAAGATCAAAGTTTATTTTACTGTATAATTTTTAATAAATTTTAACACATTTTTATTTTGACATTTGTTGTCATTACCCATCTGGACATCAAATTTCAATTTTCTAGGTCATCTGGAAGTGGGTTAGGTTTTACTACTAGTACCTGGGCCACTGAGCTTCGCTCGGAGTTTTTGATTTAAATGTACAATTTTGTTTAAAAAAAACTAAAAACTTGAATAAATACAAAAATAAATGATACCTTTGTATTCAACCGAGATTCGAACCTGGACACCTGTGATTGTTGATCTTGCACCTTGGCCGCTTGAACACGATGCTTATTCCCGAGCGTGCAAACTACCGACCATATTTTGCGTGGAATAATGCAAAAGAAAACTGCATGAAATCTCGAAAATACGCGTTTTCTCAGACATAAGACTAATTAAGATCGATTTACCGCCCCGAAACATCCTGTATCCTAAATTACATGAAAATCGTTGGAGCCGTTTCCGAGATTCAGATTATATATTGATATATAAATATATATACAAGAATTGCTCGTTTAAATATATTAGATACTAGCATTGCCCGCGTTCAGATGACCAAAAACCGAATTCTTAGGTTTTACATATTAGTATACTCTTACATTGCAGTTTTTGTATTTTTTCTCAGAAATTGGATATTTTCATACGGTAAAAAGTATCCTATATGTTGACCCGGATAACCAGCTATCATCATACCAAATTTCATCAAAATCCCTTCAGCGGTTTTTCCTTGATGCGGTAACAGACAGACGGACAGACAAACAGCTGATGCAAAGCAAATGTAATATATTTCGATACAGTAAAATACATATTTACCCTTCAGATATTCATATCGTAAAATATGGTCGGCTGGCACCGACTTCGAAAATATCTGATTAGGTATCTATTCTACATGACAACCCCCGTTTAGTTATTTTTTACATTTTAGTGCCTGGGACTCTGGTTTTTTTTAAGTTTTTATTTTTCCATTTTTAGTGTCGACGTCATATGCAGGTAATTTGTAAGAAGAAAGTTTTTTAATAGGTAACGTATTCAATTAAGCAAGTTATTTAAAAATATATTTATTTGTCGATTTTTTAAAAAACCGCTCGACCAATTTCGATATAATTTAAATGCGACCACCTGGGAAATATACCCTTTGAAACATACAAAAAATTTTCACATCGGTTCAGGCGTCTTTGAGTAATCGGTGAACATACATTAAAAAAACATATATTCCGATGAATTGAGAAACTCCTCCTTTTTGGAATTCGGTTAAAAGATGAAAACAATGTGACATAGGTACATAGTATTAATTAGTCGGAGACATACACTCATAATACACCTCGCTGCATGGATGAAAAGTATTCTTATGTTGTATGTTTTTATTTCACTTTTTTTCAGTCAGGTTTAATTTTATAATACAAAAAAAAAACATTTCTTAACATAAATTAGGTACTTTTAAACCTATAAGTTGTATATAGGATGGTTGATTCTATAGTTGACCAGGCACCGGTTGTTGACCATCTGCAGCATTTAGTGATAATAATAAAATTTCCCAGCACAACATGTTTTTTTTAAATAATTTTTAAATATAAAAAATAATTTATATTGCCCACGGCTCCACCCACATTCAGATGACAAAAACCAAATTCTTAGGTTTTACATATTAGTATACTCTTACATTGCAGTTTTTGTATTTTTGCTTAGAAATGAGATATTTTCCCAGGAATATGTATAGATAATATACTTTTAAATGTATCTAGGGACAAAACCTGACTAAAGTGAGGGTGAGTTGCTAGTCTATACATATAATAAAATTGTAACTAAGCAGAGTCTGTACATTAAATAATTTTTGGAAAATCTTATTGAAATAAACATTATTATCTATACAGAGGCTGAATCTATAGTTTTTAGAATTTTTATATAAAACTTAAGAATTTGGTTTTTGGTCATCTGAACGTGGGCAATGCTAGTATGATATATAGCCTATAGCCTTCCTCAATAAACAGGCTACCAAATGCTAATTTTTCAAATCGGACTAATAGTTTCTGAGATAAGCACTTACAAAGAAACAAACTCTGCCTCTTTATATTATTAGTGTAGATAAAATTGATGTAATTTGCAAAATAATTATTACTGTAATAAGATGATTAAATTATAAAAAAATAACAACAACTTCATACATTTAGTTATTTAATTATATACATTCCTTACAATTTTATATATTTGACAAGGATGAATTAATGGCTCAAGGAATGTTGAGTGAGATTTTGCTTCGCTTTTGCTATAAATGTAAACATATTTTTTACATTTTGTTAAATAAATAATTCTATTACTTTAAACAAACTGTTTGAATTTAACACAATACTGGGTGTCTATACAATCTAGACACTATAGTACACAGCTACTTGTAATTTTAATAATAAATTACAAACTCACAAGGTAATTTTATTTATAAAGGGGAAAATAAATTTACATTGACTTACTGTAGATGTTAAAATATGTAAAAATTATTTATATATTATCAACAGTGTCAGCTTCATCTTCTGAGCTAACTTCATCACCAAATTCAATGTCTTCATCCAGGCCATCGACAGAATAAACAACAGTCTCATTGATGCGTACGGTTTCAGGGAACTCTCCATAAGTCTTCAGGTTCCTTGCTTCGTCAGGCGTATATTTTAAGATGACATCAGCTTTGGCATCCTGATAATCTCGTAAACCAATGAGTATGATGTCACCTTGATTTATCCAAACTTTTTTTCTTAACTTTCCTCTGATGTGGCAAAGACGTTTTATGCCGTCAAAGCACATGGCCTCTAAGCGGCCATTACCGAGCATCTTTGTGACTTGGGCGTACTCCTGTCCGTCTTCCTTGAAGACTAACTCACGCTTTTCAGTTTCATTTTCATTCTTTCCCCTCCTCCTATTTTTACCACCTTTTCCTTTATTCTTCGGCATAATTTATATAATCTTGAGTACAAACATATACAATTAAGTCTACGAAAATCTCATTGAATAGCTGTGTTGACTGACCTGTCAGTCTTAACATACACAGATTAAAAAGAGTGAAACACTTACGTTCCTTTTTTCACAAACGTTGTAAATCTAGCATAGATAATAAATTGTAAATGTGTTTCAGGGAAGACAGTTTATATATTGCTTTGCCACAGACGTAAAGAATGGGCTGAACAATACTGTCATGAAATCTCCTGAGTAAAAGTGTTCTGTGCATGAAATTGACAAAGAGAGTTCAAACGAATGTGCGGCTAATACCTGTGTTTTATTTCAATTTGAATTTATAAATAGCATGTAAAAAATATAATATTGAAAATTATAATATTATAATGGAATGTAAAAGGTTATACATATCTGTCTTCATTAATCTTATTTCAATTATTTCAAAAGACTTCTGCCGCACATCCGTTTTGTCTTTATATTTTCTAGAGCCTTTCCGCCACTTTTAACTGGCGGCTGGCAAAGATACATTAGTCCACTTTCTAGTCTCTATGTTAAAGGTTTTGTAGTCTATCTAATATGAATCTATCTCAAATATAAAGTAACGTACTTATCATTTTTTAAAAGACAAGAAGATATACCTAGATGTTATCTTAAATTATAAAAATATTATTTTATAATAAAGAAAAAGATTTAATTGAAATTATATCGTTGTGACATTTGCCTGTATCCAAATAATCAGTAAATGTAGGTCTTTTATTAATGTTATTAGTCGAAATTTAATGTAGATATTTTAGTTTTAAAATAAAGTAAATAAAATTTTCTTTTTTAAGTTTCAAAATAATACATAATACTTTCTTAGATTTACGCGAATGTTTGACATTATTAAATAAAACTATCTTTTCGGATTATTTCGCGGATTTATTTTGATTTTTGGTTCCCGACGTTTCGAATGCTTTACAGCATCCATGGTCACGGGAGAGACTGGGTGTTACATGTCTTAAAGATATAGTTGTTACAGACAGCCTACCCACAATTAATAAAATGAAAATTGCACCAATTACATTACAATATTTTTAACTTTAAACATTTTTTATAATTTTAATTATAATTGAATATGGAAAATTATTTATTTAATTTTTGCTATTATTTTTATAATTACTACAATTTTTTAAAATATTAATTAGTAATCTATATTTACCTGTCAAGTGCCACATCCCTCTACAAGATGCAGGAGTCTACAAGCTTGATTGTGATTGTGGGCTCTCTTACATTGGACAAACAAAGCGATCCATTAGAACCCGGGTCAAAGAACACATAGCTGATGTGAAGCACCGTCGCAATACAACATCTGCTGTCTGCAAACATAGCCAGGACCGCCCAAGCCATTATATTCGTTTCGATAGACCTCAAATCCTGGCGAAAGAAAACCGATATCGCCCTAGAATGATTCGAGAAGCCATAGAAATTAAAAAACATCCAAATTTCAATAGGGAAGATGGCTGGGTACTACCATCGTCATGGGATCCTGTTATTAATATAATAAAATCAAATAATAAATATAAACATAACAGACAGGCAGATGTAGTAAGTTCATACTGTGTAGATCAAAATGACAGCTTATCAGATTAATATTTTTCATTTGTAAAAGTATATTTTAATAGTGTCTTTTAGTAAGTTGTTTTTAAATAATAGCAAACTAAATTAAAATGATTATCCGTAATTAATTTTAACTTTTTTTAAATTACACATAGAACAATTATATGGCTTTAATAATTAATACTATATTTTTATATTTTTATTTATGGTTATAAAAATATAATAATGGCAACACTAAATATAGATTACTAATTAATATTTTTAAAATTGTAGTAATTATAAAAATAATAGCAAAAATTAAATAAATAATTTTCCATATTCAATTATAATTAAAATTATAAAAAATGTTTAAAGTTAAAAATATTGTAATGTAATTGGTGCAATTTTCATTTTATTAATTGTGGGTAGGCTGTCTGTAACAACTATATCTTTAAGACATGTAACACCTCAGTCTCTCCCGTGACCATGGATGCTGTAAAGCATTCGAAACGTCGGGAACCAAAAATCAAAATAAATCCGCGAAATAATCCGAAAAGATAGTTTTATTTAATAATTTCAAAATAATACAATGAATATTATTGTTCAATTTTATCATGGAAACCTCACCACCACACCACATTACGTATAAAGAAAAAAATAATTTAAATAAATGTCAATAGATGGCATTATATGTATCGATTTGTTAGAGAAGTTTGTGGAAAATAAGCAAAAGATAAAAATAAACCATGAAGTTGTACGAAAACGAAAATATCCGATCATAAATCAAATTTTCATAATTTTACTGCTTATTGAAAAATCAGCAAACAGATAATGGTGAAACTATGGTGTTTTCCTCTTTATGATTCATTGAAAGTTTAAATAAATGCAGTAATGAATTTTACAAAAGTATTTTGTAGTTTTTACAATTTTGCGGATTAACGATATCTATTATCCACTCAAGTAAACAAAAATATCTCGCAGAATAAGTAATACCCGGATTAAAGCTGTCAAATTTTTGTATGTACTAGTACATCTGTACTAGCAGTATATACTATACTCTACTATGTCATCTGTGATTTTATTTTACTAAGTATACTTTATAGTGTATGTATATCTAGAATTATTATTTAAAAGTAGCGTTTTACCCTCGTCTCACTCGGGTGCGTTCCTAGAAGCTAGCATATGTGTTACTCCAGACTTTTTACTGCCTCTTTTATGTGTTTACTGCCTCTGTGGTGTAGTGGCTAGCATGTAGCGGCTGCAACTCGGAGGTCCTGGGTTCGAGTCCCGGGTCGGGCCAAGTTTAGTTATTAAGTCTTTCTGTATAGTAAGTCTCAGTAACAGCCCGGAGTTGGGAAGTTGGCGGTGTCTCACCCCCGTGCCTCGGAGAGCACGTAAAGCCTTCGGTCCTGCGCCTTAACTCTCGCTGGTCGTATCGAGCAGTCGTCCCACCGGAGTATGAGAGTGACAGGAATAGAGAGTGCACTTGTGTCTGCGCGTACACTTGTGCACTATAATATCTCCTGCGCAGTTGGCTAGTCTCAATGAGTTTGGCCGCCGTAGCCGGAATCGGCTAGGAGAACATCATCAATCAACTCCAGACCATAGTCTATCTGTGTACTTCGTCCAAACCCGTCCAGTCGTTTTAGCGTAAAGAAATAAACATACATACACATACAAACTTGCGCATTTTTAATAGTAGTCGTAAGTAGTATTGAAATGTATGTCTGTGATCAAAAATTAGCTACCCATATTTAGGTCATATTAACGATATTTGTCGTAAAGTCCACGGTTCAAATTTTTTACATGAAAGAAAAAAACATATTTTCTTTCATCTTTGTCATTCCGTCCAGATTTGACCATAATTTAACCTATATTTTATGACACTACAATGGGTGAAAGGAGTTGAAAAAATCGCATCGTACAGAATCAAACTTGCAATCTCTAGTATATTAAATGTAACTACCAAGTTAAAGGAATCATAAGTACCTACATAGTATTAATAAACCAGGACAGTTATTATTCGATTAGAATAAAGATTCTGGTACGACATTATTAAGGAATACCTATTTTTAAAGTGCATTTCTAGTTTATTTTTTTCTCATGGGTTGTGAAATAGTGTTCAAGTTTGGGTTAATGCTAGTTATGTTTAGTGATAGGTTGCAGTATAGCACCGTGCAGTCGAGTCGACAAGGGGCGAGTGTGGGTGGACTGCAGGGGTGAGGCCAGACGGCGAATGAACTGCAGGAAGGGTTAATGCTCGCTTCCCCTGCAGCGGCCTGCGCTCGTCCACCTACGATCTATGCGAACGAATACTTTTACCTACTTAAATTAACACACTAATTTGTGACGATGTAACCAATCAAATGTCAATATTCCCTGTCTTTTATTTTTAGTTGTTTGTTAAATTTTCAACCGACTTCCTCAAAAAGGAGGAGGTTCTCAATTCGGCTGTATGTTTTTTTTTATGTTTGTTACCTCAGAACTCCGTCATTTGTTAACCGATTTAGACAATTTTTGTTTTTTTTTGAAAGTGCTGATATAAAGCAAAGCACACCGACTTCGAATATATTTGATTAGGTACGTATAGTAAATGAAAACTACCAATCAGTTATTTTTTACTTTTTAGTGCTTTTTTTGAAGTCTGTTTTTATTTGTTTGTTAAAAAGTTTTGTAGTAGTAGTAGTAAAGTGAAGTAATTTTAACAATTAAAAAGAAACGAAAATGTCATTGTCGCTTTACAAACTCTATATGGCGATATTTATGTGTATCTATCTGTATTATATACTTTAACTATAAATATTAAGAAAAAAGTGGTTTCATAAGTAAGGGGCTTCCGGAGCTAATACTCCGATTTCGACAATCATTTCACTCATAGGTATTCGCCCTGAAAATTATCAGAATCCCCAATATTTATATTGAATAAAATTTTAACACAGCTATAATTTTTGGTACATCCAGCTGGTAAAAATATTGCTTAGAGTAGCGTTGTATGTGTGCGCTTCCTAAAAGGTTATATATACCTAAGTAAACATTGTATGAGAAATACATATCTTCTATTAATCTCCTTACTACTAATAGATGTACCTACATAAAATTGTCGGTGCCATATTTCTGCTTTTTACTTGTGGAACCCTAAAGAGCGCGGTAATTGGCTCGAGGACTATTGATTTAGGGTTAACACTTGGGTCAATACCAGGTCAAGGTATAAGTGTACCTAATAATCTATAAAGGTATATAAAAAACCTTATTTTGTGTGAATAGAACTTTGTTTTTTTTAAATTGCTATCATAATTTAATTAATTATTAAGCTAGCGTTCTTCGCTCAATTCTACGCAGGCACAATTTGTATAATAATTAAGTGCTTTTCGTATATACATACAAACATACATACAAAAATGTATAACACATAAATGCAGGCTTAT